TATTATATTAATTTTATTATATAATACATTGTAGAGAACTAAATATATAATAATATTATATAATTAATATGGCTAACATATAATAAATATAATAAAAGAGATTATATCATCATCTTTGTCTACCTTGTAGCAAAAAACATCTCCTGAAAGTTGCTGCTTTGGCAACCTGGGCTTCATACAATAATAAGTCTGTTTCAGAACAAGGCACTGCAGATAGTCCAACCAGTGATATTTCTCTGCAGTAACACTTTTGCCTGCACTCCTCATTATTTGTGAAATCCAAGTTCTGTACAGGAAGACCTGTGTGTTTTATACTCCTGAATTACCACTCATCCTTTATAGTCGCTCCTAATAACACTGCAATTCTGCATTCACCTCCAAGACCTCTCAGCACCACAGCAAGGGCATCCAGTTTGCCTTATCAGTGCCAGCTCCCCTGGAGCTCACATCAGCATATCAGAAACTAAGGTGAATGTGGGCTTCTGGGCAAGTTCATTGACTTGTCTGATCATCAAATGTCCTCAGCTGTGAAATATGGAAAATAACGTCTGCTTTAGCTACTTTAAAGGACTGTCACACACACAAAAATAAAACATCCATATATAGACACATAGATATGAAAATGTTAACAATGAAAGAAGAATAACAAAGAAAATATTTTTGTTTGGTGAAGAATTCCCTGACAAATGCCATCCTTTTAAAAATAAATTTAACTGGGATGACAGCTGCTGAATCACCATCACTTTTTTTTTTTTTTCAAGCTATTTCCCTTAATGACCAACCACTCTCTGACAGGAATGAGACCCCTTAGTACAAGTGCATTATAGTTATGTCATTAAATTATTTCATATTAGAGGTGATGTTCAAGAAACTATGCCTCCCACTTAAGCTGGGTTTAAAAGGATAACAGCTGCTGAATCACCATCACTTTTTTTTTCAAGCTATTTTCCTTACTCTGACAGAAGTGAGACCTCCATTAGTACAGATGTATTATAGTTATGTCATTAAATTACTTCATATTACAGATGATGTTCAAGAAACTATGCCTCCCACTTAAACAAGGTTTAAAAGGATTTCAAGCTAGCTTCAAGGACAAGAGACTGAAGGACTAATATGAACTAGTTAACAACAGGTGAATAAGAGCTTCTGTTATAAGTTTTAAAACACTCTTTCCATCCTGTGAATGATCAGATACTACTCATTTGTGTAAATGATGTCAAAAGAATTTATTGTCTTTCTTGAATTTTTGGCAGTGCTATTTCTAAAGTAGGCTTTACAGACTGTTTTTTCATTTAGCCATAATCTGCGCATTTCTGTTAATAAGAGAAACAGGGGTTACTGGAATTATCAGTGACTGTAGTAGCAAGTGGCAAGGCCCAGGTCACTTGGGAGAACAATCTGAGAGTCAAATAGCCAGGATATATACAACTTGCGTCATTTCTGGGAACCACAGACATCTTGTAGAACAATGAATTTAATTTGAAAGGATGGCAGAAGAGAGGGGAAGTACTCTGGTTCAGTGAGTCATCAGGATAATGAGGCAGTGGCCTCACAAAGTTCTGTGACTGCTGAAAGATGAGGGGTGATAGCTGTGATGTCTCTGCTTACTTACAAATTATACTACTCAGAGCAAATTGTTCTTGTTTTATACACTTTCCCCCTGCACCACCATATGAATTCCCATTAAAAGAATACTGTATGTTTAGGGCCCTCCCTGGTGGCACAGGTGCTAAAGTCTCAGCGCTATCAAGCTATTGCCAACCACTGCAGCACAAGTTCAATCCCTGACCAGGGAGGTGACCCACATGGCACAGCAGACCTCTCCAGTCCCACCCACTGCTCCCCTCAGCAGTGTTATTTCAGTCAATCTGCCTTTTCTATTCCCCACTCTATCTCTGGTGAATCCTCTCACTCCTCCCCCCACACCTCTGGCCTACATCCCAGTTCTTGTATGCATAAGTAAAAAATAAATCTTAAAAACTACTGTATGTTCCATCTCACACCAGTGAGAATGGCACATCTTAAAACAACTAGAACAACAAATGTTAGCGAGGATGTGGAGAAAAAGGAACTCTCCTGTATTGCTGGTGGGAATGCAAACTAGCACAAGCACTATGAAAATCTGTTTGGAAGTTTCTCAAACTGCTAAAAATGGAGCTTCCATATGACCAGGCAATCCCACTCCCAGATATCTACCCCAAAGACACAAAAACACTGATTCAAAAAGACACCTGCACCCCCATGTTTATTGCTGCTTTATTTACAAGGAAACACATGGAATCAACCCAAATGCCCAAGAGTAGATGACTGGATTAAAAAGATGTTGTACATATATACAATGGAATATTACTCAGCAACCAAAAAAGAGAAACACAACTTGGATGGAACTGGAAAAGATCATGCTTAGTGAGATAAGCCAGAAAGAGAAAGAAAAATACTGAATGGTTTCACTCATAGCAGGAGTATAATGGACCAGGCAAGAAAATAACAAGAATAATGAACAGCCATATACCAGAGACATTTTGTGGGGGTGGAGTGGGGAATGGGATCAAAAACGGGGCGGGGGGGAAGGGAGGGAAATGCACGGGACTAGGGTGGTGGCACAGGG